AGGGTTATATAAGAAGAACCATTTTAGATGTAACCTTAAGTTATGTGCTAATAGCTATTTCTCGCTTGTATAACTCTCTTCTGGTTTCTTGCTTTCAAGACAAATATGATCTTCTAAAGGTTAATTGCAATGTCAGTCGTTATCTTTTGCCTTCTTAATTCCCATTCTTTAGTGTTCTCCATCCATTTTGTTTTCCTTTTTTTTTCTTTTTTTTTTTACACACAGTAACCACTTTATATCATAATGGCTTTCTTGCCTGTCTTTAGGTGAAATTATTTTTAAAAAAAAGTAGTTCACTTCAATAATTAGCTAAATAATAAAGATATCTACCATGAGGGGACAATTATTATTTTTATTTATTCGTACATACTTCTATAATTAAATCAGAAAAATACATTAGCAAGAACATCCATCACAATTGGGGAGTATTTGTCATTTTGTTTTTGTTAATTTTTATCCTGTCTACAAACATATATTCCATGCATATTATTGAAATTATTACATGAAATTGGGAAATATATATTCAGGTGGTAAAATTTCAAAGCAACTTCAAAACTTTTCTCGTTAATTCTTTTGCTGCCTTAGGAAGCTGAAAAAAAGCTCCAAATTATGTAGGGATTTTCCGAGCTTAGATGTGGCACAAGTTAGAGAAAGTAGGGTGCACCCAGTGAAGATCGAACTCACTACTCATAAATGTTCTAGCGAGAGTAGCTTGCTACCCATTACACCGCCTCTAGGTGCCCCTCTTTTTTCCCCAAGCGTAGCTTGGATGTGGCACAAGGCCGAAAGTAAGGGGCACCCTTTGAGGATCGAACTCACTACTCTTTCGTAATTGTTGTAGCGAGACAAGTTCACTAAACATTACACCACCTTGAGGTTCCCAAAATGATTTTCCGAGCGTAGCTTAGATGTGGCACAAGGCCAAAATTATGGGGCATCCAGTGACGATCGAACTCACTAATCAGTCGTAAGTGCTTTAGAGAGACAAGCTTGCTAGCCATTACACCACGCCGAATTGCCCCAAATGATTTTTAAGCACAGCTTAGAAACAGTTTTAAAAGCTTGCTAACCATTACACCATGTCGAGGTCTTCAACTCGAAACTATATAAGTGACAATACTATGTTCTTTATGTCTGAATATTTGCGGTTGAGAATTATCATTATTTACAATAATTGCATGCGGAATATTGTCCTCATCATTTTTTTTTTATATAACAATGTTTCCGCCTTTGAGTTGTCGATAACAATGTTTCCGCCTTTGAGTTTTCGAGCCATCATAGTTGGTGTGTAACGGTCCTAGTAACCTTCAAGGAATTTCGAACAGAACCATTTATACAGTATTTACATTAGTCGGACTATTGTCCTCATCTTTGTCGCCATATTTTCACAACGTTTCGGCCGTTGTACGCTCCGGTCTTCTTCAGGTGGTTGGAATTTCGAACTGAACCCTTTATTTCGATCACTGGGGTAGACTGTTCTAGTTCCACATGCCATGTTTTGATGGATGTCAGTTATCTGTTATCTCCTGCTAATTTTCCCTCTGAAAGTTCTCCAGTGCCTTAATAATTTTCCCTCTGAAAGTTCTCCAGTGCCTTAACCAGGTATTGAACTCACCTTCTTTGGGTCTGTCACTGGATCTAACCAACGTCTTTATCCACTGTGCCAATTCCAACCACCTGAAGAAGGCCGAAGCGTACAACGGCCGAAACGTTGTGAAAATATGGCGACAAAGATGAGGACAATAGTCCGACTAATGTAAATACTGTACATAATACCTCATCTCAGAAATATAGACAGACTCAGAACCATTTATACACATTATGATGTTAGATTTTTCTCCTGTCACTGTGCACGTTTCGGGATATCTGGTCTATTTTTTTTTTTTTTTTATACCGTTCAATTACTGTACACTCGTTTCCACGTACACCTGATGAAACGCGGATATAACGACTGAAACGTTGTGATAACAACAAAGTTGATGATACTCGATCGCATGTAAATCTGTATAAATAATTGCTAAAATCAGTGAGTCACATCTTTTCAATTTTACTCCTAGATGCCGTAACCCAACATATCATACGATTTTGGCATCAGGCCGACACTGTGGAAATATTAAAAAGAAAAAGAAAAGCAATTCGGACTGGATCCGGAAACGCAATCTTGAACTTTTGTATTTCCAAAATTTTCATTACTGCTGTTTTCGATGAAAATTTACATGAATATATGCGACAAATTTTTTTTTTTTTTGTACGATAACAATTTTTATAACTTGAAAATAATTTGGGAATAAGTGAAATTAATTGCGAAATCCAGAGTAAGTTACCCATGAAATAATAACTGTTTATACGGAAAGTAAGGACCTACATATATTGTCTTTAAATTAAGTGGCGGCAGAAGAATTATCTTTGAACTTCTTAAAAGTAAGCCTTAATATTAAAGTAATACTTAAATGCAGCGATCAATTTTCAGTTCATCTATAGCTTCTTTTCCTATTATCGGCAGCAGTCTAAAAAAAAAAAAGAAATCTCAGCCAACAGAGGACCAAATTGCAATCAAATTAGTGGGGGGCGGCAAATACCAAAAAGACCGATGCAACAGAAAACCCAGATCAAATGGCAGCCATGAGAGCTTCCAGTGCTGAGAATATGCAAAGACTTAGGGATACTAACTCCTGAACAATACGGATGAACCAATCAAGAGCCTTATAGGGCTGCTTTTAAGCTAATAATATATATAATGCTCTTGCTTTAGTATTATATTTCTTCACATTTGGGGAGACTGTGACAAATTATATTTTGTTAAAAATATTATTCGTCTGTGTAAGTAAAATTCCTGAGCCTAAAGTGACGTATATAAAAAATAAGACAAAAAATAACGTACGCAATCATACTAGTAATGATTGGCTCACGAAGGACGAGAAAAATGGAGGGGAAAACATATGCATTGTTCTGCAAATTTAACAAATCGTTCGAAATTGATTTGACATAGGAAAAAAATTGAATGATTTAGTCAACAAAAAAAACCTCTTCGCATACGCTTATTATTTACTCTCACAAAAATTGTGTATATGGTTCTCTAAATCCAATTGAGTTTTTTTTTTAATTTAATTCTCATTTTCGTAATACTTAGTTCAGTCTTAGTAAAGAAACCTCTTATTGATTTTGAGTTTCTAGAATTGTCTTTGAGTGACTAAACGTTCTTCAATTGCTAAAGAAGGTCAAACTCTTTCTGACGTGCGCTTGTTAAGACCATCTTAGTTCACGAAAGGATTAAGTTGACGTGTTTTTCGAACGGGAGGGAACGATCAGTACTGCTCTTGAAATTGATTTCAATTATTTGAATTTTTCTATCACCACTAATCCGGAACTAATGTCCGGAAAATAGGCGCAGGAAAATCATTCACACAATTTTCTAATATCGCCTTGTAAATGAAAATCTCCTGTGACGTTCTCCGGTCAAAACCATTGACTATTTTGTAATTAGTTAAATAATGCATTACGGAGAAGTATCAGTAACGTGGTCCTTGATAAATGTATTCTCAATAATTGTTATTTAGTAGAAATTAAAGTATATAATACTTGTTTGAAATTAAAGAAAAAGCTGCTTTGTAAGTAGGCGTTCATTACGAATAGATTTGCCATTATCCCTTTTCAGTGTCCTGAATATATTAGTTTGGGAAAATCATTTGAAGAGGCAGTATAAACACATTCTTCATTGGAATTAATTGATATATTTAATGAAAGTAATATTTCTTCTCATTATCAATAAGACAAAATTATCTACTTGACAAATTACTCATCCATCGTGACTACACTTCAAGTTGCAGTGGCAAGAAACTTTCTGTCTCAATTTTAATTACTTCACAATTAATAATATATTTTCTATGTAAGAGGAATTCGCAGTGGTGATAGCCGGACGGATTAAGATTATGAGAGTACGGCGGATAATGTAAAGTTCCATATTTAACCTTTTCCAGAGTGACACGGGTAATATGGTGTCCTACATTACCGTATAAGTGAAACATTTAATTACGATTAAACAATGACGGACGCTTTTTCTGCAATTTCTTTTTGAAGAACTTCCGGTTATCGACAATTCATTTCCTGATTTATAATTTTCATTTTAACTTATCGCTTCATGAGATATCTTCCTTTATATCCAGCCAAATACAGGATATAGGCTTCTTTTCTGGTATCGTTCTGTTTTGAACATGATTTTTTTTTTTTTTTTTAACAATTAATGCTAATTTTTGTCGTATTTGTTTGGATATGGTTACCGAGAATCTGCTTTTCCTCGCTGGTGATCATTCAACCTAGGAAGCAAGTATACTCATAGATGATGGAAAGACAGCGACTCTTCGGATATGGAAAGAAGCAGCATGTTGATGACGATATCGTTGATCAAGTTCAGACACTTTTTTTTCCATATCATGAAGATGTTTTTGAGCGATGTTTACTTTATATTCAAAGGTTTCACTCATTCGTCTGAAGTATGTTTAGTATTTATCTCAATTATGTTTTACAAGATCTCGGTATCGACAAAAACATATCTTACAGATCCAGGAAAATCTTCTAGAGAAAACGGTCGGTGAATAATTAGTCCAACGATCATTGGTATATCCAGACACTTAAAGCTTCCATAGTTTGCACAGACTTGAATCTTGCTAGATAAGTCACTGAAAAACAATATTTGAATACATACAGCATGCAATATCGGATGAGGATCTGATCTAATCTCATTTTGAAAGCGGAAATCGATAGAATATTTATTTTAATATTAATAATCCGTTATTCACGAAAAAAAAATATTGTTATTTAATGGTTATTTTACCGAAAGGCTTGAAACGAAGACAATCCCAACGATTATTTCAAAATGCAACAAGATTTTCTTTTAGATCTAATATAGTATTCTCCGTTTCTTTCTATTCCTTGGTATCTTGTCTTATTTTATTATGTGAGTCAGTGATATCCCAATGAATTTATGATTAGATATATATCCCGTTGAAACACCAGTTCCCGTACGATCAGGGAAGGTAAGCAACTGCGAACCTGGTCAGTACCGAGATTGGTGACCGCTTGTGAATACCAGGCGCTGGGATGTGCGCGTGATGCAATGGATAAAGACACGGTTAATCGGAGAATCGAGTTCGAATTCCAATTCCAGTCTGGTTCAGTGCAAATATACTTGAGAAAGTTATGAACCCCTCTTTTCCCTCACAGTTATGGGTTAATTAATGATACTTGTATTACTAAATAATTATTATCTTCCAACGAATTCTTTGAATCTAAAAACTTACATTCCGTCTTTAAGTAACCTGCAAATTGTTGAGAAACCGTAGAAAACAAATCAATCGAATCAAACAAACGATGAGATCAAGTTGCCAGATTATACTATTATATATTTCATAACACCGTGTGAAGCTTAGATTTGCAGTATCTGTATTTATTAGGAATATGGATAATACATTTATCAGGGGTTGTCAGCATGAACTAAAAATACAAACTATGTGTAATTTGTGGAACCTACTTTCAAGAGGATGTTTCGCCATCACTACAATCTTACCTTGTTTAAGTCTAGAGTTAACCGTTATCTTCCCACATACCATCATCATATATGCCTCTTGCTTTGTATTCCTCTATCTTGAGGGACTCTTGTGATTTATACAGTATGAACATCACTGTATATAAAATATTTAATAATTATGTTGGTATATAAGACTTTCTCCCTTGGAAAGTTGGAGTAGGGTAATAAACATTACCACTTTCCCAGACTTGAGGAAATGTAATGTAAGAAATAAAAAAAAAACAATTTATTTGTTCGCTTCATATATTTTTCCCAATAAATTGAATTTTTTTTCGTTTTAATAACAGCGATGTTTACAGCATTCTTCTTGAAAAACAAGCCCTTTAGGTATGGAGGTCTTATTAGTTATCAACGGTAGATCAAAAGGTCGCACGTAAAAAAAGAAAGAAGGAAATATCTAAAGCTTTAATTACATTAAACAGATGGAAAGCTAAATAATCTGTAATCAATCTAAAGATTAACACTTAAAAAATATTGTAGATTAAATGATTTCTAAAACGGGAGTATGTTTGCAGTGAGGTAAACATGACAACATGAAAGACATAAACTGAAAACAGAAAGATTTAGAAAGAAAAGAGTAATTCATTTGATCTGTTACACTGTCTCGAAAAAAAAAAGAAATTTGAAATTTGTATATGACACAAAAACAACACAAAAAAACTGCATTAATGTAGATCTTAATGCTACTTCAAGCAATTTTAAACGTTACTGCTCCTTTGACGGTAAGAAAATATCCCACTTTGAAAGAGGAATAGATAAATCTTGCTACGCATGCGTTACTCAAAAATATGATCCATCCTTAACATGGTTTCTTCACCCCCATTAAACATATTTAATAATCTTTGTTTATAGACAGAAGTAGATGGTAACAAACAGAATAAGGTTAAGTTCTAAAATTTTCAGTTAGATTACAATTCGAAATATTGTAAAAAAAAAAAAAAAAAAAAGTCTTACTCTATATTGGAAGTTATGGAAAAAGCTGAATAACGTAATTCATTAATCTATTAAACGAAATCGAGGCGCAACACAGAGAAGCAACTTTACTTGCAGTAGATGTAGCTATTGATTCTGTTATGGGACTTTACCCATAATAACATAATGGACTATTCCATACGTAATAAATACTGCGCCTCAAGAGGAAGCAGGGAGTTCAGACCGAAGTCAGACGACCGGCCGATCGGCTGAACCCTCCGCCTTCGGGCGGGGAGGAACCCGAACGAGGCTACGCCGAAGGGCGGAGTCTCTTTCAGGGAGGTAAACTAACCCTGAACCCGTGTATACGGGTTCAAAAGGCATATTTTTGGCCGATCCCACGGGTTTGGAGATCCCACGTTAAACCGGGTTTGTGCCACATGATGCCCTCGTGGTGGGGGTGACTAAATACTGTTCAGTCTGGAGTGAGGTCCGTCAGAAGTCCGTCAGTCAGTCAGTGCGAGTCAGTCAGTGCGAGTCAGGGACAGACCGAAACAGAGTCGCGTTCAGACAATTACTACTAAACCTGAATGTTCGTACTAACACTTTCTACTTCTCTGTATATATTCCTGTTGTAATATATCTGTGTTATTCCATATCCATGTTCTTCTTTATTGGTTCTACCTTGGACTATCACCGTGGTACTAGGAACCGGACCATAAGAGATTCAATGTAGTTGTTCCACCTCAGGTGAGTGGAAAACAAGAGACCAAGAAGGTGCAAGCAGACACTCTTGTGAAGTTGCGCATCAGTCATGTTGATAAGCGGCAGGGTAGTTTCTATGTGTTGAGTAAATAAGAGCAGTTTCGTTTTGGAAGCATTAAAAAGTTTATAAGCTATTTCCTACCCTAGTCAACAACAGATTGGAGGTGCTTTTCTAGACCAACAGCCAGGTTAACTATGTCAGCAGTGCCGCGTTTACTATTGAGACAGGATTAAATGGTAGTGTCGTCTGCGTAGATGCCTACTACAGCAACATCGTTGATGAAGATCAGAAACAGTGTACGACCCAGTACAGAGCCGTGGGGAACAGCACAGTTCGTATTAAATGAACTGGACGCGAACACGTTTAGGACGACCTTCATTTCATGGTTTGACAGAAATGACTGGATTAAATCAAATAATAGTCCTGTAATACCGTATCTATCGAGCTTACGTAGACAGCAGGCCAAACCCCAATCAAACGCCATAGAGATAACTATAGCAACCGCACGAGCTTCGCCGTTATTATCAAGTGCTTCGTATACAAATTCAGCGGTAGACCGGGCAAAGCGGAAGCCATATTTTTTTGTCAGAGATTAGATCATGGGACATAAGGTACTTAACCATTTCGACATTAATTCAAGCTTCGAAGATTTTGCCGAAGAATGCTAGGAGACTGATAGGACGGTAGTTAGATGGGTCACAATGGTATCCAGTTTTCTTAAAAGCAGGGACAACGGATGAGGATTTCCAACAGGCTGGAAAGCAAGATTCAGAGAAGCAGTAGTTATATCCTTTGGAGATAACTGGTGCCAGGTCAAGAGCACATTGCTTTAGGACTGATGCTTTAATGACATTAGAATTTCAGCTTATTTTAACGCTCTTCGTAGCTGAGCAGTAAAAGCACATTAAATTACAAGGTATTTTTCCTACAAAACTTGAATCCTGTCGCGCGGCATATTTTCTCTAAGTTTTCTCGATTACGCTGGCCAGTAGACGAAATAAATAATGGTTAAAATAAAAGAAGCATCTACTCAAATACAGGTATCTACTAAATAAATTTTGAATTGAATATATATACAAAGGCAAGCCCAAAGAGTGTAAAACATAGAGAGATGGATGAATAAATAAATAAATGCGTAGAAATATTTAAGGTCAAATATTTATCATAAAACCTTTTACTTGTTCCAATGTCCTTTGTAATATATTTTTATGTTAACGATAGAAGTAGTATCAGTTAAAATCCATGGAGATAAAAATAATATAAAATCGATAAGAAATAGTATCCGAAAAATCTTATTTTGCAAACACATTGAATCAGTGAATATGATATTGCAGATAGAAATAAGGAAAAAAAATAACACTAAAGGCAATGCTTTAAAAGACACATGATAATCTGGGGGTAATTCTGAAAAGATTACCGTGGAAAAAATGTCCGCCTGAATTCAAGTCAAATAATAAGACATTGGGAAAACAAACCAAAATATTCATAAAGTCAAAGTAACTTATCTTTTGAAATAAGTAAGAATGTAAGCATAGATTTGAGCTAGGTTGCAAGAGAGAACAAAGCAGTATATACATAAGAATAGGATGCCATCATATATAATGTGAACATCGGATACAAGAAGTTGTGAACAGCAGATAGAAAGAGTGTTATAGTCATAAAATTAAGATATTGGAGCGTATGAAACTGCACTTAAATATAAGAAAATAATATTGCAAACCTATACTTAACCGAAGGCGCTAAGGGAATTTTCGCTCCCTTGACTAGAGTCCAACAATTTATACTGGCGTGCTTCCTGCATTGAAATGAAAAAAAGGGGCTGTTCAAACTGCTCGGTTTTGTCCTCCAAACAGAGAACGCGCCAATGTTATTGCCAAAACAATCACAGTGGCCACTGATAGCATTTCACGCTTGATAGTCAACAACGCAAGACTATCAAGCAAAGAAATATTGGCCAGTGTGTGTTAAAGGGAGAAAGGCAAGATGACAATATGAGAATCATTGGAAGTAAGAAGATACGAATATAAAAATCAAAAGGAATCAAGAAGTAATAATCAAAATTGAAAAGGTAAAAAATAGACGTCTAACTGTAAAAATACAGAGAAAGTAGAATTGAATAAAAAGATGAAAATGAAAGAAAGGATTACCGGAAATTGGAAAATAAACAGAGAAATAAAATGGTGTCAAAAATATAAAAACAATGGTAAATGAATGAGGAAACAAAAGTAAAGAAAGAGAAATTCATCAAAAAGGAGCGAAAAAGGTACAGAGTAATAAATGAATAAAAAAGAAATGAAAAAGATAAAAAAAAGAAAAAATAGTGCTGAGAAGAAAGAAAGTATAGGCGAAAAACTGAGATAAGAAATAAATGTAAAAAACAATTAGAAAGAAAGAAAAACGAAAGACCGAAGAAGCAACAAATGGAGAAAGAAATATAATTCCCCCCCACAAAAAAAAACATGAAGAAACAAAGAAACAATAGTGATAATAAATAAAATAAATAAAATATTTAAACTAAAAAATTAGAAAAAACAGATGAACAGCCACTTTTAAATTGGAGGAAAACTATAGGATACTAAAATCTAGAAATATGACTATAGAGATGAAATTACTGAGATATATATCAAAATAAAAAGAAAGAACAGTCAGATTTATAATTTTAGTAAAAAGTGCTCGATACAGGGTAGAGCATAATATATTTTTTTTAAATATATATTAATCACGACACAAAATCTAATTCATATGCGATTTTCACTTTTCCACATAAAAATATACTTGTATCTTCATTCGTCAAAAAAGCCAACACCACCTTAATAAAAAAATGAATTCTCAT